TCCTGTGTGTCCTCCCCTGGACCTGTGTCCATCAGGCTGGCTGTACTTCCAGAGGAAGTGTTACTTCCTCTCAGAGATTGAAGCTGCCTGGAACTCCAGCCAGAGCCAGTGCTCTTCCCACAATGCTTCCCTGCTGGTCATCGAGAATCATCAGGAGCTGGTAAGGGAACCAAAGGGGGATCCTGTTTTTCCCCCAGTTCTCTTCCAGGGAACTCCTCCAGCCTCCTCAGCTGAACAGTTAGGAAGGTGATGTAAGACTACAATGAGTCACAGCCTGCAGAAGACTTCGTGCTTCTTCTCCCTGTAAACAGGAAACATCAGTTTAAGCCGTTGATGGTTTAGAAAATGTCTGAGTACTTGCCTGAATTAAATTTGGTGCTGCTCACAGCTATAAATTGTCATATTGAGGGCATCTATCAGGGTAAAAACTGTTGCATCTCATTTATCTTTAATTAAACAATTGTTTTCTCATATTGAGATATAATGACACATAAGTTGGTAAATATGTTAATTGTAACCTTTGGAGTTAGGAGATAGTTACCCAAAGTGCAGCTTGGAGCATTTTTTTCTATATTATACCACAATATTAGGAAAGATTCCACCCTGAACAAAGGCCTTCTGTGTCTGTTCCAGACCTTGATAGCAGACCTTGATGTTTTAGAATAGCCTCTCTCTAGGTCAGTCAACCCTATCCCAGTTACCAGTCTCTGTATATTTAGGTTTTAATATTGTTTCTTCAGCAGGAAACGTTAGATTGTTGTTTTGCTTTTGCCCTGGATCAAAGACTTTGTTTTTTGATAGCTGGACTGAAAATGTAGAACTTCTTTTCTCATGTGGGTTTATTCCTACAGAGGTTTATGATGAAGATAACAAAGCAAGACCCATGGATTGGACTCTATAAAAGAAATGAAGAGTTCTTTTGGGTAAATGGAAAAGCATTAGACAATGAACTGTAAGTTGATGTGGAGGGGTTTTGCTGGTGATATTTGATTATAGGGGAGTAAGAAAAATATACAGATCTAGTGACTTGTAGGAAATCTCTGTTATTATGTTAAAGGGATGGAGAGGGTATGAATGCAATGAAGATTTCACATGGCATTGTTAAAACTGTGGCAGATGAAAACTAGGGGATAAGTTTGTAATGCTGAGAAGCAACATGAGGCAGGCTCATGGTAAAAGACATCAGACAAAGTGAAACCAAGAGACGCAAAATCAATGGGAGGAAGGGAATTGAGGGAGAAAGGGAAGATTAACAGTAACACAAATTCCTCATTATAGAAGGTATTTTGCAACAATACAAACCTGCGTGTAAGCTGTGTGAAGTTAATAGCAAAGAGATTTGGGAGACTGCTAATACATATTTTCATTTTTATAGAATGTTCCTCGGAAAGAGGCTGCTGGAGGGAAAGGCAGATGTGAATTTATGTTGCATGAGCTGCTCTGTGGCCAGGGCCCTGTGTTCTGTGCCGCCAGTGCCAGGTGTGGGGCACTTGGTTCCTCTCCCTGGCAGCTGTCCCATCTCCTTAGAGGCTGCTGCAGCTCATCCTGGAGCAACTGCTGGCAGGAGTTGGCAGAATTACCATTCATAGGCATAAGCAATGAGATTTCACAAGTCTGAAATTACTTTAAAAAGTGGAAAATTTCAATACTTTTAAATCTGTGACATTACTGGTGATATGTGACTATATTCACTTCATCCCCAAGTCCTGAAGGCTTGATCTGACAAAGGAATTTAGTGTGAGATGTGAGGAACACATGGGCACCTCAAATTGAAAACTGCAGTCCTTCCCACTCTTTTATCCCGTCTGCAGTACAAACATCCACTGATGCTTTCATTTTCAGTGAGGTTCTTCCCATTCTTAGACTTCTGCCTCACTGCTTGCCTCAAACTGCCCCTCCTGAAGGGGGAGGGCAAACACCTTGATATCTAAGCTCAGGTGTTAATGCACTGGTGGGGATTTGTCCCTTGGCTTTTCCAGAGACCATTCCAGTTTGCTTGGCCTATCCATAGAACTTTATAGCACTTTTTGCTGAAGGAGTCTCTTACCTCTTACACAGGGACACCTACGGTGTGGAAACTGAGTTTTGCTTCTTGTTTTCTTCCACCCCCTTAACCATGGTGCCTGTTGAGTTCTGAGGAAGGGAGAAATTAGAGATGCATTTCCTTCACAGCTTCTACTGGAACCTTTTAGCTGGATAGGAAGATGTGAAGGTACAAGGCGGTGGTGCCCATCTTGATGGCACAGCATCCCTGAGAAAGGCGAACCTGAGTTTCATTCTCTCCTCTAAGGGTGTATTTCACATTAAGTGTCTACTAAACAAGATGCAGGAGTACTACAAGTATTGGATTTTGTATTCTGGGCACAAGATACCATTAAGAAAGGACAATCTCCATGGTATTCTTTTCAAGGCACAAAACATCATCCTCCTGTGGTGCCTTGACTGAGATAAATCAGGCTTTATTCAAAGTGAATTCAAAGAGAACCTGAGATGCCCATAGCTGCTTTTGCTCTATTGCAATATTTGATTGTGGGTGTCCAAGTAATCCTGTCTTCTCTTCTCCGTGGCAGGTTTGAAGTAAAAGGCTCTGGCAGCTGTGCCTATCTGGAGTCCAAAGGAGTCTCAGCCTCAGGATGTTATTTAACCAGGAAATGGGTCTGCAGCTTGAATATCAACTCAGCACAATAAAGGTGGACAAAGCCCCGACCCCTGACATTCAGAGCTCTGATATGATGATGCCTACACAGGCTATGTCTACACTTTGGGACCTGGGAATGTGTCCCAGCTCCTACCCAGAGGTGAATGACTTTTCTTGTAGCCAGAATTCTCCACCCATGGAGGAAGGCTTTAAAGATACAATTTTAAAGGCTCTCTTCAGCATCTTGATAAGTCATTTCCTTGCCCCATTTTTCCAGCTACTGCCCAGCTGTAGTTTCTTTTTGCTGTGCCATCAGTATTTCCTCCATTTACTCTTCTCTTGTAGGAGCAGCTGCTCTTTCTTTCCCTTTTGGGTGTGCAGTTGTTCTGCTTTTCCTTTTGCCAGGCTCTGTGTGCATGGGTGGTGAAGTGGGTCTGTCTGGAGGGCTGCCAGTGCCTCGTGGATACAGGGCAATGCAGAAGTGAACACTGTTGTTTTGGACACGATCACAGCAAATTCCTCTCTTTCCATTTGATGGGATGTACCTTGCATTGTATTCCACATTTTGTTAATGTTATGTTATATTAATTTTGTTAAATCCTGGTGATGACGTTATCAAGCTGATTTATGTAGCTGCACTGCACCTGAAGTTATCCTCACAACACTTTCTTTAGCCAAAAAAGGTCACAATAGATGAGAATATTTATTTACCTGAGCATCTGCACTGATGGAGGGGAGAAGAGTTGGAACTGGAACAGTGATAGTGAAGCTGCAGGCTTACATTAATGTGTAAATGTAGAAATAATCCTCAGTGCAAGGAGGTAAAATCAGGAGAAGGGAATGAGAGAATTAACAGGGGTATTTCTCTGTGTTTCCCTTATACCCTGTGCCTGTCATGGTGCGAGCCTTCTGAGCAAGGGGACATTTCCAGATGGACAGTCAGTGTTTCCTTGTGTAGGTGACATTTTCAGCAGCAGCCTCCAGTGCTCTTGGATTGCTGGGAGCCTGAACAGACTTAGGGCACATCTCTTTGATTGACTGAGTCCCACACATGTCTAGCAGGTTGTCCAAAAATTAAAAGTGTCATTTGACCCAGAGGAAGCAAATTTGCGTGGAAGGAATATAACTATGAAGTTTCTAGAGAAGGAAGAATGGGAAGTTCACCTTCATTATTTTCTGTCATAGAAGGACTTGACTGTAGCAGGACCATACACATAGATAGTGTCAGCAACTTGTGCCTTTCAGATGTTTATTTAAATATAATCACTAATTTTGCTGGATTACATTTTTCTTAATTGCTTGTATTCTTTATAGGCACAGTAACAGGACTCTACAGTATAAAAAGCCTAATTATCTATTTATTTATGTTGGGGGGAAGGTGTTATTCTGCAATGTTTTTACATTAACCTGATTCTGAAGGATATGGTATCTGCAATAGTCCTGAAAAGATACTTAATAAATATCTTTACAGAGCCCCTGAATTACAGTGGTTTGTATCTTAATATTGGGATATTGAAAGTATTTTTCATCTCAGGCACCAAAAAAATCTGAAGCAAAGTAAAATGTTTTGAACATGAAAAAATCTTTAATAATAATGTTCGGGCTGACATGAAACAGAATATTTGATCCAAAAAAGAATGCTTTCCGCTTTTTAACTCCTCATAATGAGTCAGACTTTTAACAAAAAGGTTAAAAAGTGAAAGCTCTTCTGGAATCTGACTCCTCAGGGATGCTATGAACTCCTTTGGTGATATTAAGAACAGAAGAGTGAAGCTGCCAACTTTGCCAACTTGCTTTACTCAGAGTGGAGTTTGATGAAGTACTTAAATGGTAATTTCTTTTTATTTTTTCTGTTAAATAAGTGACTGCTTAAATTGTAGGTAAGAACTTCAGTAAGGTCCTGCAAAAACTTGTTTAATTACATGAATAATAGCAAGAAGGCCCAAGTCATAGATGTTTCATGAACATTGTGAAAACCTAAACACCACAACTAATTTGAGAGAAGCCAGCATGCAGGAGTTTGGTTTTCTTGTTAAATTCAGCATGAATCAAAAAAGATCTGCCAGAAAACCATCAGTTGTCAACTCCACTGCATGGAGAAGGGTGTGCTGTGAGTACCCTGAAGTGAAAATTTCTCAGCAGTCAGAAATTCTCTCTCTCTAAAGCATGTATTATACAGGTATAGATGATTATCTTTTACTCATTTCAGACTATTTCCTTTTCTTTGCCTCGTTGTCTAGAATGAGCAAACCAATCCTCTTCCCCCCACGTGCGAGTTTGGGGGACTTTTGTCGTTTCCTCTTACATAACAGCAGTTTCTCTTGGGTCTTGAGCTGCTGATGCTGCATTCTGCGTGGCAAATCTGTGCTGGGGTTTTTTGTTGTTGTTGTTTGAAGGGAAGTCCCTGAGGGCACAGTTCACTTTTTAATCTGCAGCCCTAAAGTGCTGGACATTAACCCTCCCCAGGCATGCACAGATATGAAAAAACATCTCTGAGAAACCGCAGCTGCCTTTATTTGTGTGCATCACAGCAAAGATGAGGTAAAAGCTCACCATCTCAAAAGCCATGTTCGACTTCGTTTCTCTTTCTCATCACTGTAAGGACTTAAATTCCAGTCAGTGCCATTTTTGTTAGAGTAGCACCTTCAGTTCATGACATTTCTTTATTTTTGTCAAACATGTGAACCTAGTAAAGGCACTAGGTCAGACTGCTCTTAGCATTTTGTGTTCTAGACCCAGAAATAGCATTTATTTATGACTTCAATGCCTAAGTAATGCATTTACTGAGTGCACTCCCAGGCATTAATTTCACCAGTCTTTGGCTTTGGTACCTCATCATACCATAACTGTGGTTGGAATTTACAATGTAAAGGGACAAAATATAGGTGGAGAGGAAGGTTATCAACTTTATTTCCCTGCACTGCAATGTTGTTTTACAGCCCAAGCCCCTTTCCTGGTTAATCCCTTCAGATTCCAAGGCTCAACACCAAAGAGGATGGGAGCAATCAGCACATTAACCACAAGTGTTACAAGTCACTCCATGTCTGCTCTGATGTCTACACCCAGTAGCTGTGCAGCAGCTTTGAATAAATCCAACAAATGCCTTTTTTTTTTCCAGCCCTCAAGTGACTTCTGTGAGTCACAATTAGACCCCAAGGGAAAAAATCACAAAACCCCAAGCCCACAAACTTCAGCAAACACTAAAATCCTGAAACCCAAATAAGAAGTCCTCAGCTCAGCAGCTGCCTGCAGGCAGGGGTGACAGCACACCCTTCATCCCCCACAGGGGCCTTAATTCCTCTACATCACACTGTTTATGTGCACAGTGCTCCTCCTCACAAGTATCTCTTCTCCTCTGACCCTTCCTGAGGCAGCTGCTGCCAAAATCTGTCTGTGTGAAGGCTCAGCACCCCAAAATCCTTGTGTGCCAGCTTGCAGGCCTGTTGCAGGACCTGTCTTCTGACTTTAGGGAGAACAGCACAGCAAAGTGCAAGTTTCCCTGCAAGTCTGATGAAAATTATTTACATCACAAGTTGGTTTGTGTGTAAAATGGGTCTTCTGACAAGAAGCTCTGCCTGCTGTCTGGAAATTTCACTCAGAGCAACAGCAAAGTTGCATTCTTCTTACAGATCCACTCCTTTAAGGTCTGGCAGTTATCTGCCTGGATCACGTTTTTCCTTCTGTAAACAGCACAGTTCTTGTCAGCCTCGATGCTTTTTAAAGCTGTCCTGCTGAGAGACCAAAAGGAATGCAATGAGTTACTGAGTCTAAACTTAGCACTGCTTAAAAATCCTGATGGTTCTCTGGGTGAGGGGTGGTGGATGATGCCCACTTGACCACCCCCTTGAAGCACAGCAGCTGTGCAGAGGTGGGTTGGGCACCCCCAGCAGGGACTGCTGGCTTCTGAGGAATGGATGCTTGGCATTTTTAGTGTTACAAGGATAAGGATCCTCCCCATGCAGCCACAATGCTGAAAAAAGCTGCACAGATCCCAGCCAATGCTATGTGGTGACAGGCATCACCTTCAACAGAGGCAGGCAACACATGGTCTGTAAAGTGAGAGAGTTTCTTGGCAGGGATTTCAGGAGAAGTGTGTAATAATATCTCTGCATTAATAAATATATGAGCTGTGGCTGTGGTTAGTCCTGGAGGCAGAAATCAGTTTCTAAAAGTGCCAAGCAGGAACCTGTTGGCCTGGGACTGGCATGAAATAGACTCTCAATAGGTACCTGAGGCTGCAGGCTTAGATCTGTGCTTTGGGTAATTAGCTCAGATTCAGAATTGTATTTCCAAACAGGGATACCACACTTTGCTTTTCCCAAAGATATCCTCCCCCCAAAAATCGTCACCTCTTTTCTTTTACTCTGTGATCTTCCACTGAACTCCATGCTTTCTCCATGCCTTTGATGTCCAAGCCAATCCAGATATATTTGGTATCTTTGTCTTTGTTGTCTATAAATTCCTGTGGAATTATTAGAAGGATGTTATCTGACAGAAGAGCTTTCCTGCTGTGCCCAGGTCACGCTCCTGCCTCATGCACAGCTTTTATTTCCTCTTGAAGAGCAAGGGCAGGGATGCAGCCATGGCACAGCAGCCCCTTACATCAGCCCACACACATGACCAGACTCCTCTCTTCTCAGAGCCAAGCAGTGGAAAGTCCCCAGCATTTCATCTTCCCAGTCAAAACTACTCTGGCTTCCACACTTGGCACCTCTTGTGCTTCTCCTCTTCAGCTCTGCTCTGCTAACATTCCCAAACCCAGCTCCTGGGCAGGGAGACTCAGATCCTTTCCCTCAGGAGACTCTTACTTGTCTATGTGTACTCTTAATATCCAGGCCATTTTCTCTTGGAGAAATGTTTGCCTGAGACCTGTCACTGCTGCAAGACTCACCATCTCAACATCATCCTCAATGACAAGCAGCTGGGACTTCCTGGCCAGGCAGTTTTTCTGGCTGTCCTCCCAGCTCCTGGCCTCCTCAGAGAAGAAGTAACATCTGCCCCTGTGCAGCTGCCAGCCGGGGGGACACAGCTCACATGTTGCCCCTGTGGGTGGACAGGGGGAATATTTAGCTCCTGCAATGCATGGAATTCCTCCCCCTGTTTATGAACCATTGTCTGGAAAGTGTTCTCCAGGACAAGAGGAGGATATATGGCATTTCTGGCAGCAGCTCCTGGCAGATAGAAATTTAATCAAAATACTGGAAACTTTATATTAACAGAGGAGCAACACTATCATGATTAAAATGTTAGTTTAGATTTTGTTATCACTGCTCTGCAGGAGCACCATGCTTTCTGAGTTCCCATAAACTGCAGGGTGTCAGAGAAATGGGAAGAAAGTCAACTGTGCACATCACACATCCTCTATGCTGGAAAGGAGTAACATGCCTCACCCTGTCCATCTTCACACAGCTCCTCCATGAGCTGTTTCAGGAGCGCTGCTGAGACAGTCCTCTCTGAAGAAATGTCATTGCTGGTGCTGTTCAGACCATAGCGAGACAAAGTTTTTGATTTTCCTGCTCTGCTCTTCAAAACTTGAACAGCCCAAAGTAAAAAAAATAGTAAGAGAGAGAGGTCATTGTTAAAAACAAGAATAAGGAAATGCAGTCTTTGTACCCAGAGCTGGACTGTGAATGTGAGGATGTCTCTGTGTACATTGCCTGGTATAGACACAGTTATGAGCAAACTAAGTAAAGCTCAGTGGGCAAAGCCCTCCTGAGATGTTCATGGAATAGCCTGGCTTGGCAAGACTTTAGAGATCATTTAATTCCAAAACCCTCCTGCCATGGTCAGGGACACCTCCCACTATCCCAGGTTACTCAGAGCCCCGTCCAGCCTGGCCTTGGACACTGCCAGGGATGGGGCAGCCACAGCTTCTCTGAGGATCCTGTGCCAGGGCCTCACCACCCTCACAGGGGAGAATTTCTTCCTAATATCCAATCTAAACCTCCTCTCTGTCAGTGTGATGCCATTCCTTCCTGTCCTGTCACTCCAACCCCCTGTCAAGAGTCTCTCATTTCCTGTATTTGTGTACAAGTTGACACCTTTTAGTGCAATACTAAGGGAATTTTTCTCTCAGCTCTTTCAGAGGTTTAACCATGTCTGGCAGTGAAGGGGTGAAGCAGGAGGCAGGATCTACTCACACTGCTTGGCTTGTATGGCCACGACTCCCAGCAGGATGAGCACGAGGACTGCCAGGACCAGCGCCACGTAGAACCAGGCTGAGAACCTGTGCCGGCAGCCTGCAGGGAGGCAGGAGGAAGAGCAGCTTAAGGTCCTGGCACTCTTAAACTTAACACTGGGGAAACAGAGAAATCATCTGCCTAAAATCACTCTACTGTCAGGAGGATACAGTGGCATTTTACTTATTAAAAATCTGCATCCATTTTGCACACATGGAAGTGAAATCAAAATGTTTGGTCTCATAGATTAAGTGATTGTCAACCATTAAGAATTTGCCTTTTCTCCTTTGACTTATTTTTCTCAAGCATTGCCTCCTCCCACCTACCCACACACACCCTGCAGGACCTTGCAGAGCAATTCCAGGAGAGTATCAAGAATGGGCTGTGGTGTCAGGGACAGGCTGTGGTGTCTGTAAGGGATGGGCTGAGGTGTCAGGGATGGCTGTGGTGTCAGGGATGGTTGTGGTGTCTGTAAGGGATGGACTGAGGTGTCAGGGATGGTTGTGGTGTCAGGGATGGGCTGTGGGGCGTTCCTCCTCTCTGCTCCAAGTTACTTTTCCTGTCCTGCAGTGCAAAGATAACTTCCCTAAATGCACAGGAAAAAAAGCCCCATACTGACACCCCCTGGCACGGCACAGGGAAGTGCATCAAACCAAGCATCTCTCCAGCTGTTTGGCACTCATCCTGTGACAGAGGGAAACACTCAGGAAGCTGCAGAACCCGAGGAAATTTGGCGTTAAGGTGCCAGTGCCACGAGACACAGATGTGCACTGTCATAACGTCTGTTTCCCTGACCTTGCCTGCATGAGATAAGAAACTGTTCCATCCTCTGGCTGCCTGACCTATCTGGTGTAATGTTCCCACCAGGCCACTAATGGCACATAGAGACCTGGGCATTACCCTGCTTTCAAAGCCAAATGCATCTTCCTCCACGAGAATTCTTAAAAAAACCATGGAATTTTACTTTGCTTTGCTACATTTCCCATGTAGGGCACAAAGGCATTTTTAGCAATTATTTTTAAAACATCTCTCAGTATTATTTTTAAAAGGAAAATGTAAAATCTGAGAAGCCAGGAGAAAAACCAGCAGATGAAACGACAGATCAGCCCTTCATTGAGAGGGTGTACATAAAGGCTCTTAATAACAGGTTTCACTGGCGGGCAATAGGAAAAACTCCATCTATAATTAGTAACCAAACAAAATTGCACAGTACCAGGAGCGGAAGACTCTGCTCTGCTGTTCCCTTGGGGTTGGGACTTCACATGCAGCTCAGCATATGTGATCGTGTTTCCTGTAAAGAGAGGGCAACGCTGACATTTGTGGCTGTGCCAATCACCAAGTGGAAGAACAATAAAGGAGGAGCCTGCATGAAAAGAGGTGTGTTTCCAGGGCTGCTTGTTCAGCATTTTCCTTTTCCTAGGCAACGGCAGGCAAGATGATTTACCACTTCCTCCTGCTGTCAGGCAGGAAAAGCCTCCTCCAAAAGCTTTGAATTGTTGGGTGCCGTGTGGCTGGAACAGGAGCCAGATAAACAGGCTAAAGGATGGGAAGGACCTGGATCCCATCCATGGCAAGCATCCCATCTGTTGCTGAGCCATCTCAGAAGGTACCACAGGGGCTGGAGCGGCGCTAGACCCGCCACTGTTTTGAAGGGCAGAGAGGTGCCAAATGAAAACTAGCACTCAGAGAAATGCTGCTGCAGCAAGGTAATTCCTGGGGACTTTCCTGACTTGTGTGTATATTTCAGGTGCTGCCTATAGTGGCAGAGGAACGGACCTGACGGTGGAAGACATCCTTTTCCAAAAGCACGTTGCCAAAACAAACCCAAAAATGGCATTAAAATCTCACGGTGTGGGTTCAAGGCACATGGATCTTTCTGAAGATGTTTTCAATATCATTTACTTGGGTATTTTGAAGAGCTACTGATTAGTGTTATGGAAGGTGTTTGAACCTTTGGGACACTGCTTTTGGTTCCATAAATGGAGAGATTTTATCCATCTGTATCAAGAATAAGCTTCTCTGCTACCACCCTGGTTTGTAACCACTGGGGCTTTTAAAAAGAAGTGTTGCATTAAATTTCACTAATCAGGGAAAAGCTTGGCAGAAGAAGAGAGTCTCATTAGGTTAAAATGAGGCAGCGTTTCATATGAGAATTGCTGAAGTATGGAGAGGTTTTACAGTTTAAAAAATCCACTGAGAACCTGATTGTCAAATAAAGGTATTCATATAGGGGAGACAGTCTATGCTTTAGAGAATATGACCTAATACACTTGGTTGTTTGCTTTATTTCAATTTATTAGTTCAGTGAACTACAGAAAATTTGTAAATGAAATGTAATTGTTCTCAAATCAAATGCCCTAAAAGTTTTTCTTCTTATAATGTAAATAATTTTACAAAACCACTCAGGACTTTTAAACTTTAACATGCACTAGCCCTGTAAATAGAGGTACTTCTAAAATAAGTGCATTAGACATTCTGCTATTATTAGTAAATAATTTGTCTCTCAAATGCACATTTATTCCTTCAAAGAATATCTTTAAGCCTGTTAGAAAAAAAGTCATCCATGCAAGCTGAATAATTAACCAAAATCATTCCTTCTATTACAGTGTGTATGGGCTGGTAAGATTATTTGAATGCTGGAATGATTATTTGAATGTGAAGTCCTCGGAAGTCAGCAGGGGGTTTTAAAACACCACATAACTTTAATTCTGCTGAATGCTTCCACACCCTCACCTAATTCAATAACAAGGTGGAGATCTCTGTCAGCCACTGAAACTGAAATTTTCACTGCTCTTCCCTGTGCCTGTTGTCAGGGGCAGAAAAACATTTCTGTTTATTGGAAGCTTCTGTTTGGTGAATCTGCAGACAGGGAGTGCTCCTGGGGAAGTCCATTAGGAAATGTTGTGTCCAGATGTGGGCCAGCACATCCAGGGGGAAGCTCCAGAGGCTCCAGCTGGACCTGGTCAACACCTGGAGCAGCCCAGGAGGTTAGGGAGGAGAACAAGAAGTTAAGGGCATGACCAATGGCTGGCTACAACTGCTTGTGGGTTAGTTTGGTGGTAGACTTGAACTCTCCTTGGTTTGTCGTTCTCCCACGGAAAGTTCTGTGTAGCCACTCAAAATTCATAAACAGGCAACTCTCAAATTATCTGTGAGGGAACCGGGACAGAAAAACTGCGAGAGTCTTTTGCTGGAAAATGGATTCCCAGGTATGTTTGTCCTTGCTGGGATTTGGGAACATTTTCTAGTTTTCAACACCTGGTTTGAAGTACATGCACAGTGACATCACCTGCACCTAGCAAAGCCTGTGTATAGATAGAGCCGTTGCAAAATCCTCCTCAACACACTCTGGCAGAACATCCAAGAATTCCCTCATCCCTGTTGTCCAGAGCACCTGAGTGACAGCTGAAGTCCAACAGTAAGTCCAAGCCAAATCAAACACAATGTATTTGAGTATAATCAGACATAAGAGTGGGGAAGGTGAGACTGGGAGCTATAAACAGTGAAGAAAAGATTAGTTAAGAGCTTTTGTCTCTGTATATTTGAGATAGAATAACTAAGACTTGTAGAAATGCTGGGTGGATCTCTGGTGCCTGTTTTTTAAAGGGGATGGAAGCACTGGAGTATGAACAGAAGAACATTCACAAAAATTATCAGCATTTTTGAGAAGTTAAATATTTAAAGGGAAAAGGCCATTGAGAAATCACTTAATTACCATGGCCAGTAACTTTATGTGAGAAAATATCAAGAGTTAAAATTAGTTCAACAAAAGTTTACTAAGCGCCATCCACATGTTAATGATAAATTTCATTGGAACTGGCCTGTCCAAAATTGAGCTTTTCCTTTAGGCAGCATCATCAAGGAATAGTTTTGGATGTCTTCTAATCAAGATTTGATGTCTGTCTCCCTTCACAAATAAGGTTTTTCACTTTGGATACTGGGTAAAATTCCAGGCAAACCCTCTTTCTGTTGCACAGATTACAGCAGTGCAAACAACATCCATAAGTGCATGAACACAGAGTCTAAGGTAGTATTTCATGCCATATGTATATAATAATGTGAACTAATTTTTATCTTTTGGATACCAGTCTTGTAAAAATATATAAAAGGTATTATTTTCTGTCATTTAAGTGCATGTGTTCAGAGGAGCACCATCATTACTATTAATCTCCATTGTAAGTAGAACATCTAAAAATGCTCATTACACAATGTTATTTCCTTAAGGGATTAAATACAATAATTACTAATGAAAGCATGAAAATATCCTTAGTCTGATGCCACAAGCATTTCCTATTTGCTCATAATAAGCTATCATTCGTGTTAGATGTGATCCAGAATTTTTTCCAAATGCTTTCATGAATGAATTACATTTTTTTTCCAAGTAGTAGAAATGTCACTTCTTCAGAAAATTTAGTTCAACTCAATTTAGTTTACCATGAATCCTGGCTTAATCCTTTGGGGTTTTTTTACAAAAATATGAAGTGATCACGGATTGATAATTTGGTTCTGGAAAATCACCACTGGAAAATTAAAGAGAAAGAGCAGGAAGGTTTCAGGGGACATTCAGTACTTCCTTCAGTGACAGTGGCTGCACTTTAGACTGCTACTAGTTTCCTGATTTACTGGTTAATTTGCTGCTCCTTTCCATGAATATAAACATTGATCTGATTTGTGAGCTAGGTAGTAATTCGGTGGAGCATTGTCTTGATCATGTTAGTCATTTAAAAAGAATTATGCTCATTACTCAACCAAGGAACACTTTTTCTTTCTCATTCTGTTACTTAAAGCCTGGGACCAGACCTGAGCTGCTGCTCCTTGGCGGTTCTGCTTTGGGAGCAGCTTGGCTGATTCGTACTGTGAGGATCTCATCTACTATTCCACCTCCTTGCACTTTCCATGCAGAAACTTATGGCATTCTTCTAGTTTTACCCAATTTAAAATGTGAGAGAGAAAGAGAGAGAGAGCTCAAGACAGCAGAAGGTGTGTGCCCAAGAGGTTTTACCTGGGTTTGATGTCCCTGAAGGAGCGTGTGGCCTTTCCCTCGGCAGCATTGCCACAGCCGCGTAGGTGACATCCCCTGCCATCCGTGAGCCCGTCCCTCAGAGCTATGGAAAGAGCAGCTTTAACTCAGTCATTTGCATCCTGTCTCAATATGACTGCCTTCAAAACACTCACATGCTGTGCTATGGCTCTGAGGAAGGCTGAGAAATACAAAAAAAGGAAGTGACTGAGTTACTTCCTTCAGTGCATCTTCAAAGCCTGTTTTCAGCCCCCATTCTGTCTCTTCTTGCCCTTCAGAATACAGGAGCAAATGAAGATTAAAGCCCATCATTAATAATAATATATGAGAAAAAATCTTGTTGGTCAAAGCAGAGGGAATTCTCTAAGGAATTCCCAAAAATGGACTTACACAGGTATGAAAGGTTTGCTGGTTCTCAGGAGCATAGAGAGTACAATTTCTGTGCTGTGGCTGTTTTGTGCTCCTGTGCATGATCTGACACAGCGTATCCACCTGAAAGAAAGATAAACAAGAAGTACATGTAACCGTGTAAAATGTCTTGGGGTTAATGTACTGCAACCACACAGCTTCAAAAATGTAACTCAAATTCTAACCTGCTCCACCCACGAAGTACTTCAATGGTTTAACAGCCAAATTTAGGTGATATTGATCATGCATTAACATGAATTCAAAATAAAATTTTAAAAAACCATGATCGATGCTTTTTACAAGAATGTTTCCATACTTCACTGTAACAGTAGTTACAAGGAGCTGCTGTTCCTACATTGCTTGGACTCTTTCCTGCTTGAGCCAACAACTCCACAGATGGAAAACCTGAGCTTTCCTGCCTTTATTACCTTAAACTCCTTTTTCATTACTCACATGTTTGCTGCAGGATATTTTGATTACATTGTTTTTGTCCTCTATTTCAGGTCAGGGGGAAGCCTCACAGATTTTAATTGAAACATGAACACCTTCTAAAACCTAAAAATACATTTAAAACACTCAGACACTGAGTCCTGTGCGTGACATTTCCTGATCTGGGTTTTGTACCTTTTTCCCACTTAGAAAATTCCCTCCAAGTTCAACACAGAAAAGGTCTCCAAACTTACATGGGTCTGTTGAAAATAAGGTTTATACAGGATGTTTGCAGGTTTTTGTTACATTCAAAGGGACCTGAAAAAACCAAAGTTTGGGGCTGTAAGCTTCTATTACTGATTTTTCCCTTACGGTGTTAAATGCTGGTAACAGTGTTAACTGCACAAACAAAAAGGTGTTGGCGGGCGGGGGGGGAAAGAAGAACCTTTGATAGTCATGGAACAGATTAGTCAGAAGTGCTGCCTGAGTATGATTTATAAGTGATGTATCTAAATCATGATGGGTTCATTATCTGATCATAAACGATAAATCGATACTGTGAGCTGCGCCTGATAAGGTTTGTTTCACATACACCTACATAGCAGCCATACCACCAGGCCTCACATGGAACAGAACTTTGTCCTCTGAATCAGTTTTCCCCTGAACTTCTCAGCATCTTTTACAGCAGGATAGTTAGGCTCTGAAATGGAAAAAAAAAAAAGATAACCAAAACCCAGCCCTGAACCAAACACAATTTCATTATTTGGGGTTTTTCTGAAAGTTTAGTCCATAAAGGAGAGTTAGAAGGTAGGTTGTTTGAATTCTCAGTCTCTTTCCTTCACTGCACACACACTTCAGCAGTCTCTTCTCACATGATTTCCTCCTAAACCTGTCACAACCATCCAGAGGTAACCATGTACAGTCTTGAGGCCGTTCCCTCTTGTCCTGTCCATTGTTCCCTGGGAGCAGAGTCTGACATCCCCTGGCTGCCCCCTCCTGTCAGGGACCTGTGCAGACCCAGAAGGTCCCTCCTGAGCCCCTTTTCCTCCAGGCTGAGCCCCCCCAGCTCCCTCAGCTGCCTCTTCACAAGCTGTAATCTGGGTTGAGTTTAATTTATTGCATGATCCACCTTCACTGTGTGTCTTTTGGGTTCTCCAGGTAGAGCCTTGCCTCAGCCTCTTCTTTCCTCCCAGGAAATGAATCTGGATTAATATGCAGACTTTACAGAACCCTGTGAGGCCCCTAAAATACCAGGGACTGTGTATCAAACATCCATGTGTCTGGGGAGGGGGGAGTGGTGTTTTAGCCTTGAATTTTCAGACTTTTTGGCAGAACATGGAGATATCTGAGGGTCTAGACTCTCTTGCAGCACCTGCAAGGAAAGATAGTGGGATTTTTGTGGGAGATTTCTCTGCACATCATGTAGAGCTTGACAGCCTGGAGCTTCAGAGGCTCTGTGGGGAGAGGCAAAGGGATGCAAGATCATGTCATTCCCCATCCTGACGTGTTCCTGGGTGCACACAGACTCCCCCATGCCAACTGCCAACCCTGAGTGATGTCACTGAGTAATGTTCTGGTGGCAGCACAGTTACCAGCTCCATCTATGCACAGAACAAACATGGTGACAACTGCAGATGCCACCTCTTCTTATGGGTGTGACAGCATCACCTTCACTGCACGTGGAGGCAAAGGCAGACTGAAAACAGTGACATGGGCTGCAAAGCAGAAGTCAGCAAAGCAGATTCCAGCCCCTCCTGCCACAGAACAGGCAGCTCAGCCCAGGACTCCAGCTGCCTCATAATGCACCTTTGAAAGAATTTGAACTGCCAAAATGCAGTTCCCAAAGGCTGAGCTGCAACACAGAGGCTTCCAGGCTAAACTGAGGGAGTCCCATGAGTAAATGTCCAGTTTAGGTTTCAATTCTAAGCCTCTGCTGTGTCACAGCAGAGCCTGTTTGTATGGCAAGGTGCAAAAGCAGCACCCAGAAGGTATGATCAGAGCTAGGGCTGAAACACAGACACCAGTTGCCATAAAGGAATGTCTGTACATGGTTATCCCACACTGCAGCAGGAAAAAAGATGTAATTTAAACTTTTAAACTCACAGGCCGAAATTTATTTATCTATTTTGTTAGTCCTTCCCTGCTGTGCTCTATTCTGCCATATAGACATGGCCTGCCTTGCTTCAGGTCTAGCAGAGCTCCTGTCTCTTACCCTCATGGCTGAGAAATCTGGGTTTTGGGTATCACTTTAACCTGTGTGTTTCAGAGCACTTAGCAAAGGGCATCAATTCCAGGATGCAGTTGGAAGAGCAAAAATAGAAGGACTTGCCTGAGCCCATCAGCAGGCCAGGGGCAGGGGCCAGAAGGCTGCCCAGCACTTCTGTCCCTCAGCAGAGCACCCTTTTCTGAAGGTGTGCTGGGTTGGGCTGGGACAGAGCTTGTTTCATTCATAGGAGCCACCATGGATTTGTGCTGGGAGCAGTGTGGGTAACAGCTTTCAGTAACACAGGGCTGTTTTAGCTATTGCTGAGCACTGATTGCACAGCATTGTCTCTGCTTCTCACCCCCCTCCCTCCATCAGCCAGGAGGCTGCACAGGAGTTGGGAGGGGACACAGCTAGGATAGCTGACCCCAGCTGACCAAAGGGATTTCCCACATGGCATCATGATCATTATTTAAAGCTGGGGGAAAAGGGCACAGGGGATGTTTTGAGTGCTGGTGTTCCCCAAGTCACAGTTATGTGTGCTAGAGCCCTGCTCTCCTGGAGGTGGCTGAGCACCTGCTGCCCATGGAAAGCTGTGAGTTAAATCCTTCTTTTGGCTTTTCCTTGTGTGGGAAGCTTTTGCTTTATCTATTAGAGTGTTATCTCAGCCCAAAAGCTTTCTCACTTTTACTCTTCTGGTTCTCCTCCCTATCCCCCAGGTGTGAGGGATAGAGTGTTTCTGTGGGGCTGAGCTGCTGATGGGGTTAACCATGGCAGCAGGCCAGGCTGATTGCTGATACCTCATGCATTTGTGGGTTGTTTCTTCAAAAACTGCAAAGCCTGAATCCAGATTCATCAATTCCTTTCTTTCCATGTGTTCCAGAGCTCTTTCTGGAAATACATATCCATGTAGAGTTAGAAATTCCTTAGCCATTAATGCATTTATTTCATGTCAAAATGCTTTTGGGTAAAAAAATTCTGTCTGCTTGTGAAATTGGAGGCAAAGCTGCTGTAAAAGCAAGACCGTCTATAAATTCTGTAGATTGAATGGACAAATGGTGCTTGTAAGCACACACAGCTTACAATTCTTCCAGAAGTTATTGGAATTAATACCCAGTGGGAGGAATGAAGAACAAAGAACACTCGCTTCCACAAAATTTCCAGTGCTCTCTAGCCTTATTTCTTTACAAGTATGTGACACCTTTAAATTTTTCCCCAGGAGGCAGAAATACAACTATGAATGAATTTTTCTTGATAATTTCAAGATTCAAAAACTCTTATCACACTGGCCTCAGAAGAGATTAGTATAACAATGAAGATGATGCAGCTTTAAATTATGACGTTTGCATTGGAGGCGGGGGTCAAACTTAAGGGAAGTTTGATGTATAAGAATCCAGCTTGAGCAACAAAGAGTGAGCAGTAAGATTATGTATTGCTTGGATGGACACATTGGAATTAGTCCAGCCTGTAATATTTGCTACCAGGGAACTGCAGCAGTGGAACTGGAGAAGGAGGCTAAGTGTGAAGCAGGAGTGCCCAGCGTTGTGTGGATCTTGAATGCGGACAAACAAGGAAGTAGAAAGTAGAGCAGTACAGAAGAACAGGAAATCCTTTTCACTACTAAGTTTATCACCACTGAGAGGTTTCAGTAAAGAATCCTGGGATGGGTCAGGCTGAAAGGGACCACAGTGGGTCAGCTGCTCCCACCTCCCTGCTCCAGCAGGGTCATTCTAGGGCACAGGATTGTCTCCAGACTGGAATATCTCCTGTGAGGGAGGCTCCACAACCTCTCTGGTCTCTGTTTCAGGGCTAAGGCACTGCCCAGGGAAGAAGTTCTGCCTCCTGTGTAAGTGGAACCTCCTGGGATCAGTCCCTGCTCGTTCCTCTGGTGCCATTTCTGGGCCCCCGGAGCAGAACCTGGGCCCTGCTCGGAGCCCTCCCTGCACACAGGGACACCCAGGGCTGAGGGCCCCTCTCAGCTGGGGCTCCTCTGGAGGCTGGACAGCCCCAGCTCCCTCAGCCTT